AAATAAAACATCTGCCATTCTTTACTCCGTAAAACTGACATTAAATTGGATCTTAATCTCGAAAGCACTTAGCCGTGCCCAACTGCGGTCGCCTTTTGCCCCGTTTTCTTTTTTATTTCTTTGTACTTGCCTATACAACCCTCCGACCGCCGCCTCGGCAATTTATATCATTACGGCAGATAACGCGTTCGTTTAGCCGACAAACAATCCGGTCGGATATCGAAAAATTGAAATTCCACTGCCCCCCCCCCCTGCCACAAAAATACACTCCCTAATCTGCTTGCAGATAGAATAGCACAACTACGTATCGGAAAAAAATGTAATTTAGACAAAGTTGAGGGGGGGGGGCGGGCTAACTTTAGATACATGCCAAACAAACGGTTATTATTGTTATATTTTTAATTTATTTACACTGCACTAAGACGGTTTTTTTTCACTTCTCGGCCTTAATAGCTGTTCATTAAGGTTACAATATAGTGTAGGTAAACGTGTGCGTAACGCCTCGGGGGCAACGAGAAGTCGTCCCGATACGCGCCTATATTATAATATACATATCCCGACGGGCGTATAGGGTACCTATACCCATCATACTTGTTATAATTGTATTTATAAAGTGTACATTAGAACAGCAATAACAATATATATATAATATGTACACGAGAAACGATCTTTCAAACAAACGCGAGGGGTGGGGGAGGAAATACATACACAACAGTATATTACAAGCTCATGGTATATATTGATTTACTTTAATCGTTTTCGTAAAGGACACGCAGCACACGCGCCTAGAGGTAAAGGACACCGACTCACAAGTAGCAGCACCTAATGTTTATAATTTATAGTTAGGCGCGCAAATTATGAATAATGAAAACGACTATTGACCAGTTCCTCGGCTCTATATATTATTATAATTCATTTTTAAACGCCCCATTTGAATAAATAACACCTATACCAACCAAATAACATCAACTGTATAACGAGCGTTTGGTTTACCTAAACATATTTTATTAATTGGTAATCAAGCAGTTATAGGTAAAATTCCTTGAGGGTCACCCTTACACATGATGGTGTAATAAACGCAATTCACTCTTGGAACATAAATAAATTGGTAACATTAGCATTGTACGGAAAAAATTATTATTTATTATAACGACAAATAGTAATTAAATGTATAGTTGGAATAACTAAATAAGTCATTGGCCTAATAAACGTAGGTATTGCTAGTTGCTTTAACTAAACATTTGTATTGCATACTATGAAGTTATTACAAGTGACACCTATACATTTACAGTGTCCTTAATTTTAAACATAATTAATGATGATTATAATATTATCTTTAGTTACTGTATAAATATAATATCGTTGATCCAACTATAAAAAAATGTCAATGTTACAAAACAAATGGTAATTCTGCAATAACATACGCATAACATTTTTAACGTTTATTTTTTTTAGACACGAAAAGAAGTACCTACCTAAATAATATAGTTTGATAAGGAACTTGAGTACTGTAAACCGTTGGTAATCGTTTAAGTTATGCGCATCATAATCGTCTTAGTTATGACTATTAGTTAGGCAATATTTGACAAAAAAATGATCTGTTCAGACTATCAATTTAAACATAATATATAAATTGCAAAAACGCAAAGTAATACATATTTCATGATAAAATTTTTTTTTTGTAATTACAATTTTGCACATTGCCAATTCCGGTGGCAATAGAACAAGGGTAAATGTACACACCTTTCACAAAAGAATAAACGATTTTGTTTTCAATTGGGTTGGCCATGACAGACGTGCATATTGTCGCTACTCTCTTACACATATATTATGCCTTCGATTATAACGGTTTGTACGGGTTCGGTCGGTCAGGTTATCAATTCACTTAGCTATTGACGCGACGGCAAACGTCTTGGCACGAGTTAATATTCCATTAAGAGAAAAACATTTTTTTTTTTTTTTAAATAAAAACAAATAACACTGCCTTCTGTTCCCGGGCCGTAGTCACGCGATACACGGTATACACTTTGGCCGGAACCCGTACACGCGTATCATTATGTTATGATGATGATGATGATGATTATTATTATTAGCTAGTAGCAAAGTATTTCCCTTGACGTTTTTCCCCCTCAGGCTTGTACTCGAAAAGCTACTTTACTTTTTTACGGCTACTGTCGGCTCGGAAGTCACCCCAAGGGCTGTTAAGTTTGCCGGACACATAATATATATATATGTATTACTATGTTATATAATAATAATGTGTACATATTATTATCTTATATTACGTTTCAAAGTCGGTGGTAGTCGTCGGCGACCTACACACGAATGCCCGCAAAAAAAAACCAAAAAGGGTTCACGGGAGAAGTTAAACAAATAATATGTAAAAAAATATTTATAAAACACACACACGCTCAAATTCTCTACAGCACACAATAGTATAGGCACCGCTGTCTTGTTTAATGCCTTTTTATATGTGTATTTTTTTGGGTTTTTTTTAAACCTCGCCACCCGGGAGTTTATGTACATCCGACCGAGATTAAAAACACGGTATATATACACACAAACACATATTATTATTATATAATAAATAAATATATATGTATATAGTCGTTTACGACACATTCAAAAACCGGACCACCGCGAACACCTCCGACGGCCGGACGAACAAATAACAATAATCATAACGACAATAATAGGTAGGTATCACAATATAAAAGCTACCGGATTTGTATAATAACAGTGTGTGACTGTCTGTCTGCGTACAATAGGTTCTGAAGTCGCGCCTATTGTTAACAAAAAATAAAAATAAAGGTTCGGTGTGTAAAACGGAGCCGAATTTATGCGATATTTGATTCTTCTTGTTGTAGGCATGCATAAGTATTATTTAAACATTAAAAAGGAAAAAAAATACTAATAAATATAAACGTCTTTAAACCGCAGTGTTACTTTCCAAAGCTCACAACAACAGCGTCACTACTCGACCGTGATACCAGTCATAAAAAAAAAATAAATAAAAAGATTTATCACCTCTATTCACCCAAAAAAGTTTAAAAATAAAACCTATAGACCGGATTGTTTTACGTATATATTAGAAAATAAATCAACCAGTGTTGTGCACTTATCTAGATAATGAAAACAAAAAAAAGTTATATGTGAACAATAATCTAGATAATTGATTTGCAAATTTCATTAAAGTTGAGATTTTAATGTTGGCGAAAACGATAATGAACTAAACAACTCAAACACTTGAATTGAGTATCAGCTGGTGCACCGTTTTTCCCATGTATTTTATGTAAAGATAGTACAAATACAAAACGGTTGAACGCTAAACCCGCGTCGGCCTAAGACTACAGTAAGAAAACATTATTTTTGACGACTTATTCATTGGCAATCGACACACGTGTGAAACGGCCATAATGAAAACGAGGCTCGTTTTGCAAAAAAAAGAATAGAAAAAATAACAAATAAATTTGAAATTATTATAATTTAAACAGACTAACGCTTTAAACGGTCATCAATATAATGCGCGATGGATGTATGCAGTAAGTATTTAAGTGTATGTGCACAGAGTACATATTGTACACACACAAAAATATTCAAAGTCATTGTGTATTTTATGTCTATGACCTATTCAACGGCACGCTATAGGTAGTATAATATATATGTATATATAATAATATTATGTGGCCACTAAAACGGAAGCCCATTACGCTTTTTACACACTAGACTCGACAATAGAATGAAATCTTCTTATTTATCATGAAAACGGTAAAAAAAAATACCATAGACGCTCTTTTGGTGGTCTAAGTCCAAAAGCCTTATTGTAGATATTTCTATTCGGTTTCAGAGTAGGTAGGAAGTATGTACCTATAATATTATTTTAGAGACAAAAAAAACAACAATGGGTTATCGACCTCCGCGGATAAGAATCGTGAATTGTATGTACATCTAACAATCAGTCCGAACCGATTCGAAATCAAACTTGTGTACACTCGTTTTGTAGGTTCCCCTGCCTCTCCCCTACAAATAGGTTGTGTATTATTGTTGTTATTATAGTATATTGGTTAACCTTTACTGTGCAATTTTCTCTCCAGCACGATACCGCCTGTAACCGGTGTGCAAATAACAGTTGTGATTAATCCAAGTTATAATAATATATAAGTTATAATCTAATATCATAGTTACAGTAAAATCTATAAGCTAGAGGTCCGACTTTTTGCAATGAAGCAACGCTCAAAAAAAAAAAATGATATTATATTATAATTACATTTTGCAAAAGGGTTATTTACCGTTATAGGTTTTCTCTATGTTTTACTATACGGCCATAGTAATGGTACTAAGCAGTACACCGTGTTGTGGACTATCTAAATAAGTTTTCCAGATAAAAATGTATTATCTTTTCATCTGTTTAACTGTAAAGTTTACAGTGTAAACAATTATAGATACACTCCATAAGTATTTAAATCTAGGAATATATTTGAAATTATTAATTGATGATTAAAACGAGTGGACTTACATTAATAGATATAACATCGAATGAGCAGAGAACTCGGCCATAAAATTAAGTAACAATATTATTATTAGATACCATAAAAATAAATTAATCAAGGAGATAACACGCGGTCTGCTTTTAAGGAATTCTGTATAGGCAATATTTAAGAAAAAAAAGATTAATACGGTAACGTATATATTTTGTTAACTTTTCAAATTAAGAATAATTTACTAAAAATAATATTACACTCCACCTTACTCCCGTCCTAAACTGTAAAAATAATAATTATCCAAAACTGGTTATCGACAAATTATTCCGTATTACTAAATTTAATCAAATATTACCTATTATTGATATAATAAACATCTATTTACTATAAAAGTATAAAAAAAGAATAATTGTATTAAGCCTAATATCTTTTAAGATATTGAGTGGGTCATAGCTATGTTAACCAACCACCTTGTACATTAACTTTAATATAAGTATTTGGGTGTAATACTTGCCGTACCACAGTCCAAGTTTGTGAAGTTGGAGAGTTGAGGGAAAGGCGGCATCGAGTGTGGATAATGAAACGGCGGTAGTGGGGCGGAAGGTCCGGGGAACACGTTGGCGGCCGCCGCGGCGGCTGCGGCTGCGGCGGCGGCAAACGGTTGCTGCAGCAATCCTTGCAGGGCGGCGGCGTACAGGGCCGCATATCCGACCGTGTGCGTATCCTGCACGAGGGGCCTGTGCGCGGGCGGCAGACACACGGGCGGCGGATATCGCGGCCGGTCGGCCGCCGGCGGCGGCGGCGAGGGTGGCGACTCAACGGCAGCAGGTCGGCCGATACACGGCGCTATTATGCTCTCTATGCTGAACGGTTTGGGCTTGTGGTGTTCCGTTGTCGTCGTCGTCGTCGTTGTAGTCGTCGACGACAGCTTCGGCTGCGGTTCCGTCGGCGTGGCCGCGCTCACCGTCGACAGACGCGGCGATTCCGACGACGGCCGTCCGAAAGTGGCCTCGAGCAGTGCACGATCTGCGGCCGGCAACTTGAACCGCTTGCGGCGCCTTAGGAACGATCCGTTCTCGAACATGTCCAGGGCGGCCGGATGTAGGGCCCAGTAGGCGCCCTTGCCCGGCCGGTCGGGCCGCCTGGGTATTTTCACGAAGCAATCGTTGAACGACAGGTTGTGCCTCAGTGAATTTTGCCACCTGTAAAACATAAGAACATCTTATTACTATTATAAATTGTATTGTTTTAAACAAGTAACACCCTAGAAGGGTAAAAAGATAAAGAATATCTTTAACGTGAATAAAGTATAGCACTTTATATTTTAAAAATAACATACAATTAATTTATGAACTTTAATTAGTTACAACACTAACATGTTCGAAGTAAACGATTTTATTTTAGTTATGAAATCGTGGAAAACATCCAAATTTTGGTACATACATTTGGTAATACTAATACACATATTAGGACATACTTAAAAGTTGATATAATTACCAACTAGTATTACATTTCTCGTATTAATTCGTAAATAAATGACATTGTTCAAAATACGATTAAATCTATATAAAACATAAATAAATATTTTTTATATTCTAAAATAATTATTAGGTGATGAAATAAACACAACAATTTTCACTTATAATTCGAATTTTAATAAAACTAAAATGTATTACAAACATTAAAAAAAGTGGATTAAGTTGTACAATTTTGGCTTTGACCAAGTTACAAATTACAATGTTTGTCAATTGTCATAGTGATTTGCGCGATCAACACACCCACAATGCGTGTAGTGTCGCAATTAAAAATTAAATCGTTGTTTTAATTATAAGTTTTGCGGTGTGAAAAGCCCACAGACGCACACTTTGTATACCTACAAAAGTTTCCCACGTTCCAGCAGCTGTTGGAATATGATTGTCTAAGCACATTTGTTTTTTTTTTTTAATTGATAAGATCTAGACGACTATCCAGTTCGGTAAAAAAAAAACGTAGGTACCGCCGACTGTTATTGACCAATGTCAACACTGCACGTGGTGAAGGACAATTATTATTATTATTATTGTTATTTGTTCCACTATTATTGTGATTGGTAATGAAACAAACAAAAGCGTTTGTCATTGTACAATGTGCTTTTTATCCGAAACAATAATTGCATCGGCGCAGATCGGTCGATTTATAACTAAAATTATATTATACCTATAGAACCGATTGATTTATAGAAACAGAATAGATTCCTTCGAGTATTAATAGTAATTACAGTGTAATAATAAATAATAATAATTGTAGTGGTTCGACCGTGACGCGGTGGCGTTTACGTACTGGTACATAGATTTTCAAAAAAATGTCTTATGGAAAAAGTGGTTATATATGGCGATGACACCGGTGACAGTCCAGAAATGGATGCAGTATAATATTTTATTGAAAAAAAAAAACCAAATAACAAATGGTAGTTTGCACTGAACAATATATTTTTTTTCAATTCGTTTCGGTTACTATCAGCAATGACCACGACGCTCATTAGTAATTCGAAAAGCAATAAATTAATCGAACAAAAAATATATAGGTAGCAAAAACGATTTTTTTTTTTAATTTCGAGTTGCCGCTCTATTAATCAAAAGCATACGTTCGGATTTTAATTGAGTGTTCATTGTACCTAGTAATTATTTTAATGAATATAGGTAGCGTTTACTTATACACCTAAAAAAATGTACATAGTATATAATAGATATATAAATATTCTATACAAAAGATAAAAATATGAACTCATTTCATACGGATTTTTTTTCCATACAGATCAAGACCCGGTTAGGTATATATATTATGTAGTAGTTACTATATGAAATGCCACGCCGACTAAATAAGATTATATTGCGTTATTAGTTAGTAATTATGTTTATTTTTAATTGATACCTACAAACATGTTTCACTATAATATTTCTTCGTCGATTATTATTATTGTACATATAAATAACTAACCTAACCTAACCGAAACACAGATACGGTCAGGTTAGATTAATTATTGTTACATACACTTTTTTTTTATCAATTATTATAACAGCCATATTTCAGGTATAATTTACGGTGTATAGGTACTTGAACTTTAATAACACCGAAAACGAGATATAGCGTAGGTATTGTGTTTGATTATTAAACTGTTAATTTTGAATGTGCTTATATGTCTTGAAATCATTTTACTGCTCAACTTGTATTGTATACCAATCGGTTTTCTAGTTTCATTTTAACAAGTTGACTGCCAGAACCATTTTGTGTGTATATCTATTTATCTGTTATTAGTATCTAATAGTTTGAGTACTAAATAAGGTATTCAAAGTACTTGTAACTAACTTCAGTAGGTATAACATATAAGTTTGAAAGGAACAGTGGTTTGCCCCTTTCATTATATATATGATGATGTAGTATCATATCAGAGCCTAATGTGAAAAACAAGGAAATAATATTTTTAATTAGATACTTGGAAATGCTAACATTTATGGATAAATTTAATAACGACGATCCAGAAAGACTTGATAATCGCACATTGTGATATTCCCAGTTCTGTATTATAATAATTGTTTATAAATTGCGCATTTAAGTCCCGTGTAAATAGGTATTATAGGTATGTAGTAATAATTCATAATATTGTTATCATTAAAATCGTTTAACTTGACTGCAGAACGTTAAACGCTTTTATAGGCCGACTAAAAACTTGTTTTTGCAACACAGAAAAACAGTATTTTATGTATTGGTAATAATATTATATTATGCGACATCGCGGTAATACTTGTAGTCAGTTATAATATTATTTTTTAGATATACTAGCTACATTACTTTAACGTCATCGATGCAATATTTATACACAATATATATGTAATAGGTATAAATTATATACAAAAATTGAAGAAGAAAAAAAAAATATATATATATATGTGTTTGTGTGACTGTACGTGTCACCGAACTTGGTTTAAGTTGTACAGACACGTGTTACCTTCTAGTGACTTCTCCAAGATGAATAGCGTCTCTGTCATGTTTGCAGTATACCATAATATCGGTAGATACATAACGTACCTACTTACTTATATATATATATACACTTCTGTGTTGGTAGAATGTGTACAACTCGAGCGTAACGGGCGCCATGAGAACCGATTTTGCTCGCATAGCGTGTGCCATTTTAATATCTACCCATAATAATATATAGGTATATGAAAAATGTATAATATACATATAAATACCTATTTAAAACCAACAAAACCGGCCAACCGACCGGTACATTACACACAACTTGTAATTTGTATGCAACTATACATAAAACCTATCTATACAGCGTTAAGTCCGACCGTTAAAAAAAAAACCTCAATCATTTGACCAGTATAATAGGAGCTTAAGAAGTGTTGACGATTTCCCATAAAGAGTATTCACCAATAGAAAAAATATGTATAAGACCTAGGCGCTATATCCAATACATAATCTATAAAAACGCTTAATTTATAATAGCTGTATAGGTAGTGTGTATATAAATCCTATAGTCGCTATATTATGTACTGTATATATTGTGTATATAATAACATAATGTACTAGTGCTTGTCTCGACCCCGGCATACAAATTGTGTAGGACACACATCTCTAGCATTAGGCATAATGGAGATATGCACATATGAGATTTTTTTTCATTAACCACTAAGTACTAGAAAAAAATATATTATATGTTTATACTCAAAGTTCAGTCGAGAGGCCTCACGTGTAACCTAGCAATGACACTGGATGATTGTGTGTAGACAAAATACATTTTTTTCTTAATACAAGCGAGTTCAGTTAATAGACCTCCACTAGAGGATCTTTTTTTTTTACAAAAAAAACAATTTCTTTTTTAAATTCTAACAGACGGTACACATCGCAAACAAACGGCTTGCTCAAGAAATATTCTTAGAGACAGGATTTTTTTTTTTTTTTTATGCATTGTAAAAAAAATGTATACATTTTCTAAGACCCGCGATAGAAATAGAATTTTAAATAAAATAATGTGCTTCACCGACTCTACTTCCCCTTCTTTATATTTTTTTAGAATTAAAATCAAAACAAATATGTTTATTGTTGGTGTAGTTAGAATCATCCTTTCGGTTGGAGAGCATGTCACAAATGTTCAAATATCGAAAAATATTAAATTCGAATTAACGATTTAAAACACCGTCTGATGTTTATAATAAGCACACCCCACCAAAAAGTTATGGTTATTTTTGTTTAATATATTTTGCAATATTGCACTTGCAATTATTGTCAATTAGGATGTTTGTACAACAGCCGACCGGTAGGTGTATTAATTTAGTTTTTACTCGTCGCCGAACACGTGGTAAGGTCGACCGATATTATTTATCTCATAATAGATACTATTGTACGAATGCATACATTTCTCGTTAAATAAATACCGGTATTATTTAAAGGACACCGGTATTTAGAACCAAGGCCAGGGCAATATAATGATCCACTTGGTCAACGGACAAACGGCCGTTATGTTTTCTGTTACTTTTTCAATCGTTTTTTTTTAGTCTGGCTCCTGAGTCGGTCCGTTGGACTTAAATGAGAGGTAATAATTGTTAGCGGTTATAATATTAATATGTTTTTAATGGGTTTTGTACCTTTGAGTGTTTTTTCGGTAGTACGGAAACCGGTCGCTAATGAATTTGTATATGTCCGACAGCGGAAGCATTTTTTCGGGCGCGCTCCATATGGCCATCGCCGTGAGCGATATGTAGCTGTACGGCGGCTTTTGGTCGCCGTACGACTCTCTGCACGGTCTGGGCATCGTCCTGGTTTCACGTGACCATCCTCCTGGTTTTACAGCTGAACGGCGCGGCTCGTCCCGCGGTCGGCACGTCCATCGCAAACAGTCGACGGTCGCGTCGCAGCGTTTAAATGCGCGCGCGAATCCGACTCGATGACATCCTATGACATTTTCGCGTAGGCCACGCGGCGGTGCCTACCTGTATATCTGATCGAATTGCGCACGGGTCCGCGGCTCGGGCGCCAGTCGTTGGACGCGCGAAAACGTCAGAGAATCGCAAAACAATAATATTATTGTATATTATATTATTCTGTTGCCGTTACCGGCGGCGGCGGTGCGTGTAAATCGACGGGAGACGCGGCGGCGTACAAACGATACTGACCGGTTTGGCCCGGCACCGTGCCGGCCGACGGCCCCCCTCGCGATGGGCGTGACGGCCGCCGGACGCCAGTTGGCCGCGGACGCCGGTCGCGAGTGCCATTTTGTACACGCCCAGGCGTACACGCGCTGCTGACGCTGTCGTATCCCCACCGCTCATGACCCGACCGGTAATTCTGGGATTTATGATCCTGCGAAAATTGAATTATACGACCTTTGCAACAATAATAATAATGTAACTATATAGCCGTTTGTATTAGTATATGTATACCTACGACCGAATAGTTGTAGATATCAAAATATCCATTTAAGCCACCACGACGTCTGCCTGAACATAATAATATATTTAGTGTATAGGGGGTAAAACATAAATGACAGTGTACAAAAAACAGAACAAAAAAACAAATTCGAAATCTGCAAAGCTCGTTGTCTTATAACTTGAACTTAATGATTAATGATTAGTAGATTATACCTGATATAGTACAACGTTATATAAACGTCTACAAAGCAAAAAAACAAAGTTAGGCCGAGTTAAAAAGTTAAAAGTTTAATTAAAAATCACTTTTAACAGGATAATATTTATAAGCTGGAGTGAACCAAGAAAATTCGTGTGATTTTTTTCGTCACGCTATATTTATTTACTTGATTTTATTCGATTTATTTACTCGTTTACTCGATTTATTCAACAAAGCATAAGAACATTATCACGCTTCTACATTTCTAGTTTTAAGCTCAAAATCTCACGAATTTTGTTTCACACATTGACAGACACTACTGCTATAGCAGTAATATGATATTTTGATATTATAACAGTAATATGAAAAAATAATGTTATAGCATTACACCTATAGCTGTTGCATTGTTGAATTGTACCAGATGATAGAGGAAACTCGACTATTGGGCGAACTATTCGATAACAGAAATTTCAAAAATTATGAGTGTTCGTCAATGTGTTTAATAACTTTTACTTCATCGAGATATTTTTGAATTTTTCAAAAATACAAAATTACTCTGAAAAGTATTAAATCCTATAAATACAATGTGAAGAATGTAATAAACGCTATTTAGGTCAGGCAAAACGAAATATTGGTGATAGGTTTAAAGAACATAATATAAGGAACATTAAAAACCAAAAAGTACACAAATTAACGAATTTAACGAATTTTAATAAAACATAGGTATGATTATAATTGTTAACCCAAAAAAACCTTTTTATGTAAAAACATTTTATATGTTTAATGTTTATGAGTAATAAAAAACGATAAATAATATTTGTAATGCAAAAAATTATACAATACACCTACATTAATAAATACATTATCTTACCTTTTAGTATTTGAGTAAACGATGATTAAACATTCAATTTGTTCATAACATTTTTATATTTTTTTCTCTGAATTCAGATACCATTATGTTTTTTTATTTATTTATTTATTTTTTTTTAAGTTCCCCTGACAAAGTCATCTAAACTTATTGTTAATATAATTTACATTTTTAGCGTTTGGAAAAAGATAACATAATTATGACAATATATATATAATATACATGGTGATTAGTTACGACGTTTAACAGATACCGTGTGGTTAACATTAGAGAATGGTATAAAACATTTACGTTTTGATATTTAAATTACAAAATATGATTGAAACCATTATGTTAAAACTACACGTTGATAGATTTCTTAGAACAACGACTTTCTGTAAACTAAAATAAAAGTTATAATTAAAATATCATCAAGCATAATTCAAACCACTCTATTTATTTTAAATAACATATTATTCTAAGTACCTTTAGTTTATATATTTGATGAGCGTATACATTTTAGAAGTAGGTATATCTCAGTATTCACATTGATTACCAACGGTATTATTTAAAATACAATAAATGTTGACAAGTTCCTAGATCGAGTAAGTTATGATACTATATTAAAATTAACTATGAAGTTAAGAGTTAAGACGTACAAATCACATGAATAAACAAAATTTGTATAAGTTGGTACGTTTATGATTTTTAAACGCTACTATAGCTTTGCCAAAGTTGAGTGTCAATAAATAATAACAGAAGAGCAGTCAAGTGTCACCTAAATATGTCATTGTCTTCAAGGTAGATTTATTAGGTTATTAATTTTTCGCACTCCCCTTAATTTTTAAACTATGTAGCTCTTTAATTACTCAATCAATTTAACTAGTTTTACGCCTAAAATTAATTTGAAAATGATTTTATCATTTTCAGTTATAATAGTTCCTGTAGACCTGTGACCTCTCCATCCTTTTTATCCATTCATATAACTGATAAAAGCACTATAAATTGTATGTAACAGTAATTAGTTGTATAACGTTATATATATATAATTAGAAAATGCATGTGTATGTAATACTTTTTCATTAGCAGAGGCTCATTTTAAAAATAATGTTCGCCCTTAGGGGGAAGTTATGATGCCTAGGCATTATTCAATTTTAATTCTAATCAAATATACAATATTAATAAAACTGGAATACAATTTTAATGCGTCAAATAAATTTACTAGCCCATAATATGCCGCTGGTTATTTTTTTAAATTAGCTTATGCTGATGATGTTATTAAAACCGCTAAATATTTTTTTTCTTTTGTGAACATTTTCATTGCATGGAAGTTTATTTTGCGTAGAATTAATAATTGAATCGGTCATTTCAAAAACCACTTAAGTCACCAATTTAAACATTTGCAGGAGGCAATAAAAACTGTGCTACTCACACCTTAACGAATTTTTAAGAATTTTTTTCAGCTAAATGTAACAACTAGACCTAAATACGCTGAAATAAAAAAAAAATCACAAATCATGGAAAATTAAAAGAGAAAACCCAGAAAAACTGAGCTTGACTTATGTTGTTTTAGCAGGAAACGGAGTTAAGGTATATATAAAATGAACAAAATGAGGACAATAGTCATATATTTAATGAAAATATTGAAGATACTCCTTAAAAATTGTAATTTATCAAAATTTATTATGGAACAAATGTAAACAAACAATTTAATCTAAATCACAGAACCTCACAGAACAGACGCTTGAGTCTTCTATATGGTGCTAATCTGACATGTTTGTGTGCGCGCTACCTTGCGATGCATGTAAAAACCACATTAGTCATTGACTTAGGTTGTTTTACCAATGAACGTTATTAAGAGGGCGCTGTAAAATGGAGAAGGAATTACCTGACTAATGTTGTTTTAACATGGATTATAGGTCTACCTTCAAGCAATAGTTTGCGACCAAAAAAGCCATTTTGAAAAAAAGTTGACTTATGTGGTTTTTGAAATGACCGATTCAATTATATTGGGCAAAATTTGTTTTAATCTTTTAAAATAATATCTTCCTTTTTTTAATAGAAAACATTGTATGTTACTATACACTACATACGGTATATTAAAATTATATACATATATATAGGTATCTACATATAGACTTCATTTATAAGTTATAAAGTAAATAAAGCTTACCTGTTCAATAATTAAACACAGTGAACGGTGACTGACGGTCCGAGGATAGACTCTGCAATGATTCCGAAACGTCCGTATAAAACTGAGGCTGTAGGTATACATCCAAAAATTATTTACATAATATTTCAATCCGTGAAAGCTTTAACACACTTGGCTTTGGATGGACGGCCAGTGGTCTATTTAGAGTTTTAGGCTTTTTGTCTTTTGTTTGTCCCGATAAGAATTCAAGAACATTAAAAATACTAGTTTCAGACGTTCTTGTTGGCATTTGTTGGTAGGGTTAGTTTTTAGAGATGTGGATACTTTGAATTTTTGGCTTTATATGTTCAGATCTCAGTTTTAACACATTCATAAAATCAGTAAGTGTATTGCTGATTTTCCTGTAGGTATGGTTGGTTTTTCGTAAACGGCTAACTATAGTTCATATTGACCGATAGTCGAGTGAATCGCCATCTGTACTATATAATGCCTATGCGTGTAGTTACATCAGTAGAAAAGAAACTAATAAACTAAATTAGTAAATTATCAACGTTGTAGGCGTTCGGTCGAGTTGTGACACGGTGATGTTAATATTTAAATATAACGTCGACGACAAATGGCTGCAACTCTGACCGCAAGCAATCGTGGCCACACACTACATATTATTATTATTATTACTATTCTAATAACTTGTATAAACGGAATACAAGTGACTATATACAATAAACAATCACAGCCACCCGCAGCTGGGAGTAAGTGTAATATATGGTCCATATATAGACAGGCACAATCACGGTGCGTTTGCGGTGGGCTGAAGTGACAAATGATACGCGCCAACCCCAGTGTAATAATATTGGAATTTTAAATTATAAACGTCAAGCTAAAAAACAAAACACTAATAATAATAATAATAATAATGACATTCTGTGTGTCGGTACTGCAGTCTCGTGAGAAACGGTCGGAAACTACCGTGCAAGAAGCCGAAAGCAAGACAATAACGAGCAAAGACAACTGCTGCTGCCGCCTCGTCCTATATGTACAGCAATAATACCTATGTATGCATTCGGCAAGAGAGGTCTTAACTTTCGGATTGATGGGACGAGCCCTCCCAACGCGACTCCACGGCAATTTGTCAATCGCATCCGACAGAAATTGGCTCCGTAATTACCTCTGGGCTTGTGTTTTGGCTTCGATCTCAAAACCATACAACCGAACGGTAGTCCAATATCACGCTTGTTATATTATATGACTTGTATAGAGATGTATATATATATATATATATATATATATATATATGCATTTGCCGTGGCCTGTGTGTGGCCCTCAAAGAGTCGAGCCGGCATTTTTAACGTCCATATAAAAGTATACACGGCATAATGATATTTTAATCTATGTATAAAAATGATAAACAGCAACGATAGCCTCTAAATGTAGAGTTTATTGCTAATATTACCATACATGCATTGGATTAGCGATCACAGATTATTATTAACAAACTATGACTATAGATGTTTTATATG